GGTATTTATTGTGAGAATTTGAACCGAGTAGCGATGAACACGTATAGGCGGGAAGGTGGAACTTTTGGCCCCAAGTGTCGCGCCTTTCTGAAATGCAAGGAGGGAAAAGCCCTTCATTTTCACTTATTTTTCATTCAAATTGAGGAGCTTCCTTCTCTCACCACATTGTCCTAAGTTTTACATGATTTCAGTAATACAATTCTGTTTTGTAAAAAGTTAAAACGAAAATGCTTTGATTTGTTACAGTTGATTCTCGCCCTTTCTACTATTTTTAAATAATAATAACATTTATTTTCAAGGTTATAGATACGATGGACTGGATTTTAATATAATCACCGTAAAAGTTTAATGATTGCCGTAAAGTTGAACCTCTGCAACTAACCGGAAAAAATGAACTTTAACTAATATGGAAAGTAGGGAAAATGACCTTCAACCGTTGGATAGTGTACGAGAATCCATGTTGAAATTTTCAAATGTTCAAATTTGATATTCAAGTTTCCAAGCATCTTCGGCTGATTTGAGAAACGGGAAATTGAGCTCCGACTGATCTTCAATGCACGAGAATCCATGCAAAGAAGTTTTGGAGACCTAATTTTGAATTTCTGAATTTACAAAGATACACACTTCTTTTTCTAAAATGCCAATATTATCCATTTCCCTTTTTTCGTTTTTTTAAATTTAAAATTTACTATATATGTACTAGCGTCATCCAATACTCTACTAATATGAGTTACTTTGTCTAATCGTTAATTGTGTTCCAAGTACAGAAATAAGTTTAAAGTGAGGCGAATGAAGATTAATATCGAGTTGTCTTAGAAAGAAGAATGTCTACTACCTTCAACCGTTGGAAGTACAAGAATCCATGTTGAAAATTTCAAATGTTCAAATTTGATATTCAAGTTTCAAAGCATCTTCGACTTATTTGAGAAACGGAAAATTGAGCTCCGACTGATCTTCAATGCACGAGAATCCATGCAAAGAAGTTTTGGAGACCTAATTTTGAATTTCCAAATTTACAAAGATACACAATTCTTTTTCTAAAATGCCAATATTATCCATTTCCTTTTTTTCATTATTTTTTATTTAAAATTTACCATATATGTACTAGCGTCATCCAATACTCTACTAATTTGAGTTACTTTGTCTAATCGTTAATGGTGTTTCAAGTACATAAATAAGTTTAAAGTGAGGCGAGTGAAGATTAATATCGAGTTTTATCTTAGAAAGAACAATGTCTACTCAATTTAATGTTTATGGGTTTTAATTAGTAGTTAAAATTTGTATTACGATGTAACAGACTTGTAGCTCAAGTGATTAAGAGCAGTTACTCATGTACTCAAGGTCATCTGGTTAATAAAAATTACCTAATGATGATTAAATTGTGATTACCATATAGGAAAACGATGAAATTTCAAGTGTTACGTTCTAATGAGGTAATGAATGTGAATGAATCTATAATGACTAAAAAAAAAGGCATACAAATTGTTTTCTATAAAAGCGAAATTTTGCGTTTTAAGAGGAATAGAGTTGTCAAGAACAACTCTCCAAAAATCACAACGTTTTATGAGTGACATCAGTTCATCATAAGTTAATCATCATTCAGCTCACGGGCATGAAACCGGTTACCAACTTAGTCCATGTAGGCATGATATTTTGAACCGAGGTTAACCCAAACATGACATGGGCTAAACCAGAAGCCCAATTACCATCACAACACCACACCAAGATCCAAGCCCAAGTGTCCTCCACCGCCCCTACCAACAAGTGACTTATGAGTGACAAAGCTCTCCTCCGGCAACTGAGAGTCTGAGACCTAAAAGACCAAAAAAACCTACATGTAATGGGGATAAAACTTTTTTATTATCTCGAACAATAACTCAATGACACGTGAAAAAATTATTATATGAGTCATTGCGTTATTGACCCGAATTGCATGAGAGTTTATCTCTAAGACAGCCGCCCCAAATGAAGGTGCAGCTTTAATACCAAACTAGGTGTCGAAGTCTTAAAAAGCCCGGCTTGTGTTGAAAAGTTGCTGAAAACCTTTGGTCCCCCATTTGTTATCTGTATGGATCTCTCTCTTGGGTGCTAAAAGCATAATATATACATATTCATCTTATTATTTTGGTCTCTCACTCATCTCTTGAATGATCATGTGGCTGGCTTAGCTTTTGAAGCACATGAACAAGCGCTCTCCACATCATTGCATGAAAAGGAAAGGGTGGCTTTGGAGACCCAACGACCCTACCTAAGCGGCTAAACCCATCATCTCATGGTGGTGAGTTGTAAGTTAATTGCAACAGGTAGACCTTATTTTTTATAGCTTTCTTACCTTTTGCCTTTTTATGGTTGATAAAGAATATGTCATCTCTTTGTATACAATAATTTGGGTCATGTGGATCGAGATGGAAAGAAAGCACCGGTCCAAAACCTTGCATCTGTTGAAAGTGTCTTCGCTCCACACACATAACTAAAAATGAAATGGTTATGAAATGACTTTTAATTTTGTAATCAATTGCTAAAATGGTTTGGTACTAGACATGCATAATTGATTTTGTTTTTTTTTTTTACTTTGATATTTACCAAAGAGAGCTTTCATAAAGTTACTCTTGAATTTAAGAACGTGTTTCAAGTGCTTTTAGAGTACATGACATTTGAATACTTGAAGAGACACTAATATAAGATTGATTACTAAAAATGAAATCAAATTAACATATTTGATTTGAAGTTAATGTTATGAATAGTCGTTTACGCGCTCGTGAGTGATTGTCAGCTGTTGATGTAAGTGTATCTCACAATAAATTAACGAGATTAACGACCATTGCACTTGCAAAACAACTCTCATTAGCACAAACTCTTCGTTGTATCAAGCAAATTCAAAGTGCTTAGTGAAATTCATTAACATTGAAATTGACTTGGGTCAATATTTGGTGCCTTCATATGGTAAAGCTAGAGCTATCATAGATTCGTAGTCGACCGGGACTAGCCCACGCTAGTTGCCAAACACCAGCACCACGCGGAAAAATCCAATAACAATCTCTCTCTCTCTCTTCCGTGAATCTACAGGCGCGAACTTAGAGGCGCACATTGGCGCGTAACGCTTGGGAAGCGCCACGTCGGCACAGCGCGTGCAATGCGCACCGTGTGCGCATTAGAAGGAAACACATTCCTCATGCGATCATATCGACGACACCAAAACCCGTTTAGTGTGGCGCCAAATGGACGTGTCGTGCGCATCAAAAGCAACTGTCTGTGAGCTGTTCGTTACGTGCTGCAAGCCTACATCCGATCACATCAAATTGCTATTTTATTTTATTTTTGTAATTTCTATAATTTCTTTTTGTTCTGGGCTTAATTTTAGGGCTTAATTTGATGCGGACGAAGACAAGGTACTAAATTACAAAGAAGTTGGAAAATGACTGTCACGTAAAATGACAGAAATTGTATTTTCTATTTATTTTGTATAAATTTTTCTCAGAAGAGATTTTGGTAAATATTGATAAGTTGAGGTGGTACCACTTAATAATTGCCACATTCAATTTGTGGACCGAGCATGTTTATAAAGTCAAGCTATGGATTAGACAGTACCAAAGTGGATACATGCACATGGTTAAGGTTTAATTGGGTAAGCTATTTATCTTCTTCTTTATTTTTTTTCCCTATGATTTCCGGATACCGAAATTTCTAAACTTGACTAATTCTCAAAAAGTACATACAATTGGTGTAACGAGATTATTAGATTGAATGGCATTGTCATATGTCATGCAAGATGAATGTTAGTTAACATTGTGCATGTGGTAACTGAGTGTGAGAAACAGTTAGATAATAAATCGTTAGTTGTATCCGACAGGAATAAAGTCATATTTAGTCACATGGCTGTGCTGTTAGGCTCGGTTAAATTGGGAAATACAAATTCATATTACTTTTTAGCACAGGTGTAAATTTCAATCAAATTCATACCAATTCACCTATGTCGGAAACTTTAAAAGTTACTTAAAAAGAAATTTAACAAAAGAAGATATTGTGTCGCAAATGGAAGTTTCGGTTTCTGGTCGTTTTATTCCATTCCAGCCAATGACAAAAGCAGTAGCTTTCTCTGTTCCGCATTATTATAATTATTGAAGATATTTTTATCATTATTATATTAAAAAGATCCAACCGTACTCAAAACTCCCCGTAGCTTTGAATTTCCGTTTATTTTCTCATTGATATCTCTCTCACACTTTTGTGTTACAGGAAAAAGACTTTTTCTCCATCCTTAGTTTCCCACACTCATTTCCATACAATTCAAATTCCCCCATAAATCATCATTGTTTTTTTTGAAACTGACATTTCTGTTGGTCTCTCTCAACGTCAGAAGCCCACTGGCATGTTTGGTTGCCGAGAAACGAGTGCAGAAAACGGTGAGATAGAGCTTTGAATCATCTGGGTTCCTTCACACACTCAACAGAAATCATATAGATTCAGGAAGTTTGGTTTCTTAGCTCCCTGCATTTTTCAGAGCTAAACAGTTACTGGGTTTCTTGTGTCTAATGGGTTTGAATTGATAGATTAATTATGTTTATGTTCTTTATGTGTTTCACAAAATGTGCATAATTTTTTTTTTCTGATTAACTTTGTTTGGAATTAGAATTGATATTTCTCTGTTCTTATCTTAATTTCTGGGTTTTTAACTTTTTTTTTGCATGAAATGCAATTGATGAATTGAAGCCATTTTTAATTATTGCCCTCTTATTTCAATAACTTTGTGTGCTGGGCTGGCCCTTCATTTCGTCTCGCTGTAAAGTCTGCTTTTTGTACTGTAAAAGAAAAACCCATGAGGGGAGGTTACTCATCAAGTGAAATCTGGGCTTATCTTGGTTTTTCAGGCTGTAAACAGACTGCTTAAAGTGCCAACTTATTCTTTTGATGGATAAAAGGCATTTAATTCCGGTACGAATGGGGTAAGACACAGAGCACTGCAAAGGGAATGATATTCTTCTGGTAGATCTTGTGGCTGCATGGGAGGAGGCTTATTGCACCTTTTTGATTTCAATCAAGGCAGCATGGCCAGAAAACTTTTTACTCACAAGAAGCATGATGGCGGTGAGTTTTACTGTTCTCTCTATGCAACAAGAAAAAGTCTAAAGTGTGTAAGGGAAGGAAGGTCCCACTTGTGAATGACACAAATGGTTCTCTCTCGGACAATCATTGAGACAAAAGAATCATGATAATAACTTGAATAGTTGAACTGTTTCTGTCTATTTACTTACTCAGCTGATACAGTAGGCTGGTTGAACACATTGCAGGCCTGGAAGCTCCACGAAATAGCCTGGAGCTGCAAGTAGAACCTCAGAGCTATTGTGATGTGGGAGATTTACCGGTAATTTTTCATCACATGCCTTCTTGTTGCATGTCCTGTGGCTTAGGTGGTTTGATTCTGTGGATTCTGCGCTCTCAGAGTCATGAGAATGTGGTGTTTCCGGTTGTTTGTAATATGATTCTTGTGATACATGGTACATTTCTTGGGTATGAATTTTTCTGAGTTTCACATTAGGACTATTTTGGGTTTTCTCTATGCATCTTTTCTCAAATTTGTAAAACTCATTTGCTACTTGATTTACTAAAAAAATTTGGTCGTTACAGGAAGGATCTGTTTCTAATTAGGTGGGACTAAACTTTTGTTGTAATCATGCATTTTTGGGTTGTATAACAAAATCTAATTTCGTGTATGCATCAGTGATCTTTCTTTAGAAATATTTTCTTCTTTCATACTGTGTTTCTTCTACCAAATTGCATCATGTCAGACTTTTTGAGTAAATTTCCAAATCCAGCTACTTAGTTCAATGAGTGATCAGAATATCCTTTATAAAAAAATTTGTGTAGTGCTCTCTCTCTCTCTCCAATCACATTTAATTGTATTTTTGTGATGAATTTTCAATACTCGTATTGTATCAGATTGAAGAAAATTGGTCCAAAAAGAATTATCCTCTTGAAAGTTCAATGAAGAAATTGATCAATGAGGAAATATCAAAACATTCAAGTACCAGACAAAATGCACCAAACATTGTGGCCCGACTCATGGGGATGGATATGTTTCCATTGGATACAAAATCTGCAGTTCAGCCTATTGAGGAAAAGAGTGAAAATAGGAGAATGAAATCTTCAAAGAAGGAAACGAATGGAAGGAGCTCAGCTGCCCATGTCCCTTCTAACTTAAATTCCTCCAGGCAGATCGATCTTGATTCTTATTATCATAATAACGATAGATATGCCACTAGGTGGGGTGATGACCGGAAAATTGAAAATCCAAGGCGTAAAGAACATCCTCAAGAGGAGGAACTAAAAAAGTTCAAGAAAGAATTTGAAGCATGGCAAGCTGCCAGGTTTAGGGAATGTTCAAGGATTGTCGAAGTTGACAGCACTGCAGGACGTTTGCTTGGTCAAGAGGACCTCAACAAGGAAAAGGTGGCACTTTCAGGGCGTACAGCAATTGAGAAGACTGTAGAACCTAAGGATTATGCAGTAAAAACAATCTCACATGAAGGAGGTGTTTTGCAATGTCGTGGAGATAAGACAGAATTATTCCCAGCTGAGCATGAGGGACCTTTTTCTTCAAGAAGCAGAAGAACCATGAGCTTAGACTTTGAGCAATCTTCCATGAGTTCTAAAAAGAGATTGGACGCATCTTCTGTTCCTACAAGGATAGTTATCTTAAAACCTGGTCCTGATAGACTTTGTAACCAGGAAGACACTTGGATAGGTTCTTCAAACACTTTAGAGCAGAGGGGTGGCATAGAAGATTTTCTTGAGGAGGTGAAGGAAAGGCTAAAATGTGAACTGCAAGGGAAAATGCATAAAAGGGGTTCTGTTGTCCGAGGAAGTGGAGTCGAGACTCCATATAGTGAACAGCCATCAGCTCCTAAGAAAATTGCTCAACACATAGCAAACCAGGTTAGAGAAAGTGTAACTAGGGACCTTGGAATGAATTTGCTCAGGTCAGAATCAACAAAATCATACAGAAGCGAAATTCAGTTCAATGGACCAGATTCCCCAGAATTCATACATAGAGATACTAGAAGGATCTTCTTAGAGAGACTAAGAAGTGCTTCGAAAAGAGAAACAGATCTTGGTGTTCCTGTATTAGTTTCTGGAAGCTCTAGTTTATCTGCATTTGACAATGATAGGGTCAGACTAAAACAAGTGGGAGATACTCTGGAAGCTCAAAAAGACATGAGTTGCTGGGAAAGGGGAATAGTGAAATATGAACATGAAAAAACAAGATCATTCAGACATGGACCACATGATAATGAGGTGCTTGATAGAGAGTTGTCCCCTAGAAACCTCATTAGGTCTTTATCAGCCCCAGTACCCGGAACATCTTTTGGGAAACTTCTTCTGGAGGACCGTCATGTTTTAACTGGTGCTCACATCCAGCGGAAGCATGAAGGCATTGACCACATGTCCATGGAGATGAAACATCAGAAGAAAGAAAGGTTTAATTTTAAAGAAAAAGTTTCCAATTTCAGATACAGTTTTACTCTTAGGGGGAGACTGTTTGGCAAAAAAATTCAATCAATTGCAGAATCACATCGTAACAATTATCCTATGAAGGATATCATGAGTGGGCCAACAGTGGTTATGAACTCCGGAGAGAGACATGTAAGAGGATACTTTATCTTATCTATGCATATTACTAATTCATCAATGAATCAATGGATTCAATTGCTTTCTATCTCTTGTAGTTCTTTGATCTAAATATATTTTCTCACATGGTCTTAGGAGAATTTCACTGAGGTCCCTCCTAGTCCTGCATCTGTTTGCAGCAGTGCTAGGGAAGATTTTTGGAGGCCAACTGATTATCTTAGTCCAATATCAACTCCTGCAACTCCAAGAGAGGATAATATTGTTCCTCGGGCTTTCAGAGACATCAGCGATAATCTGAATGGTACGGATGTTTCTTTCTACGCATTCTGTTCTGAAGTGACAAATGGGTGATAAGTATGAATGTGGTGCATTGTTTACTGGACATTACTTCTAAATTTACTTTTTGTGATTGTATATGTTTCTGTGTTTATGAGGCATGAATGACTATTATGAAATTAGACAGAAGTGTAAACTGACAAGTGACCTATGAAATTAGACAGAAGTGTAAACTGACAAGTGACATAATCATCTAATTGTCTGATGCTGATTTTACAGAGCTGCGAAGGCAACTGAATCAACTTGAGTCTGATGAGCCTGAGGACATAAAAGATGAACAGAAAGTGGTCGAGACTGAAATGGTTGGGTTAGAGGACCCAGCAGAGGCTTACATACGAGATTTGCTTGTTGCTTGTGGTTTGTATGATGGGTCATTTGAGAAATCATTAGCGAGATGGGACACATTTTCAAAGCCCATCAGCAACTCAGTGTTCGAAGAAGTGGAAGAATCTCTCAAAAAATTGGCCAAGAAAGATGATAGCTCAGCAAATGATCACAATGAAAAGGTAGACCACAAGGTGTTACGTGATTTGTTGAACGAAGCTCTTTCAACTGTTCTTGGACCACCTATAAGCATGTCTAAGTTTAGGAGAAAAATTATAGGTTCCTCTGTGCTGCCACCTTTACGTGGTAAGAAGTTGTTAAATTGTGTGTGGCAAATTATCCGTGAGCGCCTACACCCTCCAACTGATGGACCCTGTTACTCACTTGATGACATGGTCTCCCGGGATCTTGGATCGAGTCCTTGGTCGGGACTGATGGATGATGACGTTAATGCTCTGGGAGGAGAGATGGAAAGCCTGATCACGGAAGATCTTGTTCAGGAAATTTTGGATGATATGCAGTTATGATGGAGTGCAAGTTTGAAGCTTTTTTTAGTAGAGTCAGTGGCTTATATATACGGAAGCAAGTAAATACATGATTACATGGACTGCCATGTTTGTTTAGTATAGTTTGAGTGTTCATGGGAGATTGCATATGCTTGTATAGATCTTCTTCTTTGTGTTTGTTTGTGAGATAGGAAATAGGTTGAGTGGTTGGAGTTATACATATATGTAGTGTGTACATTGGGTACATGTATTTTAGTTTTCTCTTTTTCTTTTGGAGAAAATCTTCATATCCAATTTGTTGGAGCAACTTGTTTGTTTTTGTGTTATCTAACAATAGTGTTTTATAATATTAACAAGAAGCATGGGATCTATTTCCTGCATATTATTGTTTGGTTATCTGTGTTCATTTTGAATTGGACTAATAGTAATAGGGCTTTGAGGCATTGTTAGGTGCACCCAATTGTTATGTCCCAGTTATAACTTAGAACCCAAGTAAGTACAGGCCCATGAGAACTTGGATTCCAGTTTTTTATCTGACCAAAAGGTTGAGCCAATAAAAACCCAAACAAATATATCAGTTGGTCAAGACAATGTACCTACATCTTTGTACTGAATCTCTTTCCAATGCATGGTATTTTTTTTTTTTTTTTTTTTTTTTTTTTTTTTTTTTTTTTTGTTTTTATGGTAAGTTTAGAATATTGAAACTGTCCACAAAAATAATAAAAAAATAGTGGTGGATGATCATTATGAATTTTCAACTAGCAGCTAAGATTGGTCCCACTCTTGTTAGAATCCTTCACTTTTAACTTGACCCTTAGCAGCCCATGGTTGAAAAATGAGTGTGTTTTGAATTCAGCAAAGAAAATTGCACCAATTCCTCCCCTTCATTGTGCCCAAAACACTTACTTGGTCAAATTGGGATCTTGGAGATAGATACAGGCAACAAGCACCACACCAAACCAAACACACCCTCTTCTTGGGCTTAAATGCCAAATCCAATTAAGGGACAAAAACTGGTTATTCATAGCCAACCAACCCCTCAACTAAGACCGACTGTGGACGAATCACATGGTAAATGAATGGTTTCTAAGCCTCAGCAGCAGGATCAAATTTACATAGTTTTCTGTTGTGGGTCGGGTCGCCCTCAATTTTTGACCCGGTGGTGACGGTGCACATGCATTGTCTCCTCAATTCTAATGAAACAATGTCATTTGCTTGTACTAAACTCAAATCCTAGTCAATTTTTTTTTCCTGGAGAAATAAAACAATGGGCATGATTAGGCCAAACACCAATTGAATGCATTAGTCTCAATTTAATTAATTTATTTTTTAAGGCAGCATCAAAGCACGGATTTTGTTCCAAATACACTTCATTTACATTTTCCTCTATATTAAAATGCACATCATGTCATGGCACACATGAATTTGTGGATCACATGCATGTGAAGAAAAACCTTTGTTTGTTTTTTTTTAAAGGAAGAAGAAAAACCTTTTTATATATGTTGACAGGTAGAAGCCAAACCCTTGTACTAAACTTGCATCTGGGTTCTTATTCAAGTGCTCATGTGTAAGTAAGATCACATTAACCATCAATAGCCTTAGCAAAAATACTAGCATTGAGCAGTTCGGCCACATTTTACAAATCATCCATGTGGTGTGTACTATATGCCAATGTTACTCGTGAGGTGAAATATCTCATAATAATACATTTGAGGTTAAACCCATTAGTAATTTCAATCCAAATTGTCCAAAGCATTGAAACATGTTGAATCCTTAAATTAGACACGAATGATTTGTGCAAGTTATTGGTCTTGGACCTAACCTAAAACTCAGCTAACCCTAGAAGTCATGAAAAAAATAGAACAGAAAATCCAGTCCAAGAAAGTACTTGCTCACTTTCTATGTGATGGGTTATCTGGTTCTTGTACAGTAAAATGAAGCTTGTCAGACAAAGTGACAAAGAACAAGCTCTGACAGAAAAATCACATAATGTCAGATAGAAGTGGCAGTACAAGTACTGTAGCAGCAGGCAGCTGCGCAGCAGAGCACGGTGCTCCAAGACCAAGACCAAGATTGAAGAATCTATCTATCCGTCTCTCTTTATGTGGCGCACAGTGCACTAACTAGGCATATCACTCTCTCTCTTCCTCTTTACTGGGCCTACTACCTCTCTCCATTTGCTACTTCAAATTCTTAGAGAAATGTTTCAATATATTTGCAAATGTTTTTACTTAATGTTACGGTTAGTTGCTCATGTGCATGTATGATTTTTATGTATCTGTTTATAAATAACATATTAACGGTTAAATATGCTTTGTAATGTATTTTATGTGTCTATCTCTTTTATTTTACGCATTAAGAAATAAACCCGTTATTGATCCTAATGGGAGTGAGAGACAAGACACAAAATCACTGTTAATGATGGGTTGCAGTTTACTCAATGTGTGATGAGTTGTGGTAACTCGATAATTACGCAAATTTTTTTCCTTGAGTTTCTTTATTCGTACTTTCTTCCAAAACAAGGATATGATGATTGATTATTACAAATGAAAATCATATGTTAAATGGGTAGGTAAATCATATATTATCAATCACAGATTTCTTAGGATCCGAGAAAAATGTTTTAAAAAAAACTTATTTTTAAAGGAAAAAAAGAAGAAGGAACAGCATACGAATGGTAAAGCACACACATGGGAACACTGCACCCACCCACTAATTCTTTCTTTTTCTACACTCTCCGGCCCTTGTCTTTATATTTTTTCTGCCTCTTTTTGTCTCTTTCTTTACTTTCTCGTTATCTTTGTTCTTCTTCTTTGCTAAGAACAAGCACTGTCTCAGTTTGAACACGCAGAGAGAGAGAGAGAGAGAGAGAGAGAGAGAGAGAGAGAGTTGTGTGTTTGTGGGTATTTTGAGGATGATGGAGTGGGAGAAGCTGCAACAGAAAGAGCATGAAATGGATGGGCAGGCAAATGGGAATGGGAATGGAGGTGTGTTGTATGTGAAGGTGATGACTGATGAGCAATTGGAGACTCTTCGCAAGCAAATTGCTGTTTATGCCTCCATTTGTGAGCAGCTTGTTGAGATGCACAAGAACCTTACAGCCCAGCAAGATCTTGCAGGTCTCTCTGTTCTCACTGTTCTGTTTCTCTTCTAGTTTTTTCAATTTTTTATTGTAGTCTTTGTTTTTGTTCTGTGATGGGTTTTTTCTCTGATTCGTTTGTCGTTTTCCAAATGAAGGAATTTTCTTTTTCCCAAAGCTTTGGCCTTTTTTAGTTCGGAATTCATATCATGCCTGTCTCTTTGTCCTTGGAGTTGGAGGCTATTGTTTTTTTTTCTTCTTTATAGTATCATTTCTGGCTTTCTTTTGCATGATTATGGATGCTTGTTTGTTTCCCGGCCTGGTTAGTCTCTCATTTATCATTTTTTTTGGGGGGGGCCTCATTTTGGTTGATCTTTCTTACCATTGATCTCTAGTTTGTTTGGTGTTTGTTAAGAGAACTTCTTTCTCCAAATTTGGCGGCATAAATCACAGGGAAAAGCTGCTAATTTTCTATTTTGAATTTCAATTTTTTTGGGTTGGTTGAATTTCAAGCTTACTCTAAAAGCAACAATGTTACATGATTGGAGAGTATCATCTGGTTTCTCGATTCTATTTTGCACATTGGCTTGAACTCTTTCCTCTAAACTTTATTTGGATCATACACATTCTGAAATTTGTTGTGTAGATTTCAGATCAGTCAGACATTTCTTCAGCCAATTTGTTTTGCTTGCTTTTCCTTGCACAGAAGAACATACTCAATACCTTTTACTGAGCATACATGGGTGAGGAGTGCCTGTGTGATAGGATTTGTAGAGGTGACCTATGTGATCATTCTTTCTGCAACAATCACATGCCACATTTTCATTTCATTCTCTTTCTGAAACTGAAACTAAGCTGATCTTAAAATTCAACTAGTTCTGTTGATGTCATTAGGATACTACACGTAATTTTGTTCTGTTTATCGTATTGTACTTTGAAAGCGATAATCTTTCCATAAGGGAGAGAATTTATTAGCTTATAGTATCTGAAATGACACCATATTTGATTTGAACAAAACTTGTGCACTTGCTCTATCAGGTGTCCGGATGGGAAATCTGTACTGCGACCCGCTGATGACATCTGCGGGACACAAAATTACTGCCAGACAGAGGTGGACTCCAACACCTGTGCAGCTACAAATTCTGGAGCGCTTATTTGAACAAGGGAATGGAACTCCAAGCAAGCAAAAGATCAAAGAGATAACCTCTGAACTGAGCCAGCACGGGCAAATTTCTGAAACGAATGTTTACAATTGGTTCCAGAACCGGCGTGCTCGATCAAAAAGGAAGCAACAAAATGCAGCATGTAACCATGCTGAATCAGAAGTAGAGACAGAAGTGGACTCACCAAAGGACAAGAAAACAAGACCAGAGGAACTGTTTCAGTCCCAGCAGAACTCAGCTCAAAGGACTGAAGATTTGTGCTTCCAGAGTCCTGAGATAAGTTCTGACCTGCATTTCTTGGATCCACAGACCACGAAGACAGATAAAATGTTCCCATCAAACAGCGGTTTAAGGACTTCCAGACATTTAAGCGAAATGTCATTCTATGATGAAGTGCTATCAAACTCAAGTAAGTTATTATATTAAGTTTTCTTTCTGACTCTTCGCTTACTATCTGATATATCAACAACTGAAATTTAAATCAATTTGATTAGAGCTTAAATCATTCTCAGCTGAACCCCAAAAGTTTAAGTTAAGAGAATAAGCCAGCAATGTTTTCGGTGATTTTTTTTTTCTTTGGATGAACAAAGATGATAGAAATTCATTCTGTCAATTGATTTAGGTAATGATGTTAAGTCAGTGCGCTCCCTCCCCCTAGCTCTCTTATCTAAATACATCCAAAATATATATGCATTGAACTTTAGAAATTTGTGAAACTCTTAACAGAAACGGTATTTATGTTTGTAGGAAATGACCTCATGACTGGAAAGATCGAAGCAGGCAACTACAATCTTTTTCAGCAGGCAGAAGACTACGGCATGACGGGGTGACATTCATCCGTCAATTTCCAAGATCGAGTTTGGTCCTGTTTGACTATGGCGACATACGAAGCCTAACCTTAGCAGCAGAGTTTATGGTTCCAGCTGAGTTTAAGTTGAGAGTTAGATAGATAGATATAATAGTGATATACTAGTCTAGCATGACATATGAAAAGTTGCTGTTGGGATTTTGTGTTTTGAGTCTTGACTGATCAATCTTTGCATTGCCTCTTGTTATTGTTAATAGAATGAACATCAGATGTTTAATGCTGAGAACCCTTCGATGATATCTACTTAATTTCTACTTTGATTATATATCTGTGTTTCCAAGGAAAGATTTTAGGCGTTTTAAGTCTGTTTAAATATTTTGCCATTTCAAGGAATGGATCATGGAAAAGATGACATAAAGTTTGGTCTTTAAAGAAAGAAAAAGTAGGTTTTCACCAAAAAAAGAAAGAAAAAGTAGGTCATTGCCATTTGAAAATGAAGGTTGAGTGCAATCATTGCATTCACTGGCATAAGGGGCGTAGGTGCAATTATGAAAAGGTCACCAGCGTTATTTTGATTGCAGTTGGGGTCTGGAATGTAAAAATGTTTAATTGCCACTAGACCCCTGGTTGCTATTGTAATTTGTAACATTCTTAATCAATGATTAAAGACTGGTCTCAATTGTTAATGAGGGTTGGTTTAGTTGGTAAGGTCCATGTACTGCGTGCAGTCTCACCAGTTGAGTCTCGCTGCTAGCAGTCCTCATTGGTGCTCGATCTGAAATTTCATATATAAATTCATACCCGTGCCAACTAGCAGTTATGTGCCACACGTAAGTCCTTCCGGTTTGAGGTTGTGGGTTTGTCTTGGTGCTAGTGGTGAAAGTAGCCAATCTTTCCCTAAACTTTTTTTTTTATCACCAAAAAAATAAAAATAAATAAAGACTGGTATCAATTGTTGAGGATAAAATGTACCAATTCCTTCTCTTATATGTGACTCTGAATGTGAGTTGCCTTTTTTTTAGCTGCCCCTTTCTCTAGTCTATGTGATGCCCCTTTTCTCTAATTTGTGTGATGGAACGAGGGAAGATTTTATTGAACATTGAAAAATGATAAGGGCTTAATACCATCTTAAGCATATGTAAGTGGGTTAGGGCAGTGAATTCGTACCCTTACACTCAAGTTTGAATTTCTCTTATTGTAAAATAAATTAATAGTTTAAACTATCTCTCGTTCTTTTCTTAAAATACACCCATCGTAAATAACAACATGTTATAATCAGTAGTAATCTACACGCAATAATTGATTTCCAAGCCTAAATATATGTGGAGCCTACAATGCATTTACGGGTGAAGAACATTCGTCTATTGAATATATCAACCTTATTTAATATGTATGTTGATATACTACTCATTTTAATAGCTATTAGTTGAGGATTAAATTTACTAATGAGCATAGTTTTTTTAATTAATTACAATTAATATTCATTATTCACAAAGTTGAGCACATCATCTCACATGTATTAGATTGCTACAAATACGTAGTCATAACTTATAATTTAATTTAATTTGTATTACATGGTTGCAAATTGCATTGCATAATAATGCAACACACAAGTTAGTTAGTGAGCAGCTGAAAATGGTGGTAAAGTACGAAGGTAGAGTGCTCCAGCTCCAACAAGTTTCGAATTAGGGCTTTCAGCAGACTCTCTCTCTTCTCATCGTACACTAAGACCTGCGTATCACAGTCATCGTCTTACATGATTTAACAATTAGGGTTTGCAGAAGAGAGAAGGAGGCATAGGATTTGAGAGGCTTCGGGGCCAAGTTTCGGATCGCCATTGAGGTTCAAAGTGGACTTCGTCTAGGGTAAGTTGATTTGGGCCATTTTGAAATAAATTTGCAAATAGACATGGAATCTGGATTTGGCATTGTAATGACCAATGTCAATGCAGTGCCAAATCCATGAAAACAACACAGAGCCTTCTACTGATCTACTGATCTTCTGTCTTCGTGTCTGTTCACAAGTATATATCTTTTTGCCGATAATGAAGATTGGGTATTTTTTTTATATTTTCTTTTATCAATTGTTTCATATATAAAGTGCCGGTAAAAGTCAACAATTCATATGCTGGAAATGCTTGTAAGATTGCTCAATTGTGGAAATATAGCTAAAGCATTGTAATTTGGGGCTCAGTGGCAATGCTGCAATTCAATGTTCTTGGTTGCTTCTTTTTTTTTTTTTTTTTTTTTTTTTATAAAATTTCGGACTGGCTGAGTCAATTGGGAGCTTTACAGATTGTCCCAAAAAGAAAAATGGTGGGAGCTTTACAGTGTAACGTAAAAAACCCTTTCATGTTAAAATTAAGCTTCACTGGATGACACATTTATCTTGATTAAGATTTTCTTCCTTATATTTTTGGTTGCAATGTTACTAATTGGTACTTTTGTGAATATGCAGAGGAAAGTATAAGGGCACAATTATATGAAACTTTAAGTTTGGGGGAATGGTGGGTTCATCAACTAATTCAAGATATAAATATTTACATGATTGTAAGTGGCCTCGTGAAGCAGTTGACGTGCACCACATCATTGTTAGAAAGAGTGGTGCAAAGGGTTTGTTTGTATACTTCTTCGCTCTAATTATTCTAGCTACCGCCTTCTACCTTTTCTTGGTTAAGGTATGCCTTATGTCCTCTTAATTTCATATATCTAGTATAAGGCTTTTTATATGTTCTTCTGTTTATATCTTTATTCTTGAGGTCCTACTGAGTATATGCCTACCCATTCATTAGAACATCCCAAGCTTAATTTAGGAACTTGAGATTAGATTGGTAGAGACTTTTAGTTACCATTTTCCGTTGTACAATTTCGGATTGGTTTATTGAATACATGTTCTTGAAAGAAACTTTATGATTGACTTTATATGTCTGTTTTATTAAGATGTATTGGGTATCTGAAATTCCGATTTCTATAATAAGAAACTTGACATGATGATCTTACAAATAACAGGAGAAATCAGTGATCATTGTTTTATGGAGTCTCTTGTTAGATGCATTCCTTGTAAAGTTGCTTCGGAAGAGTGTTGAGAAAGGTGAGGATCTGAGTGATGGGGCTTTTGGTCCTCTGATGGTACTTCTTGTGTGTGTGTGTGTGTGTGTGTGTGTTTCCCCAATTAGAAGAAGGTTTGCTATAGAGCACTTCCTGTACTATTATTTCTTTTTAAGAACTATTCTTGTCATCTTTTTAACCCGTTTAATGTATTAATGACAGAGTCCGTTGTGGTTATGCCAGCCTTTGGAGTTCAACTAGAAACTCACTATGTGAGGTAGCTTCTATTTTTGTTTTATGGATATTTTCTTTGTTGTTTACATTATGTGTGTGAATTTTCAATTTGGTGGGACTACATGTATAAATTATTTGTACTTGAGTGTTTACTTTAGAGATCTGTATAGTCAAATGTTTCCTAATGGTCTCTTTTTCCTCCTTTTTTATCCATGCAGCGGAAAGATTATTCGTCGGTTCGTTCCTATGGACAAGATTTTGAAACCTGTGCTACTAGAATGTGTGACTCCAGTTACTTGTTACTGGAGCCTGTCTTTCATTGTACGCGGGGAAGCAGAATTGGTGTTAGTTTTCAAGGTACATAATTCATTTTATTAACTTAATACTTGGAGAAGATATCTTATTGGAAAGCTGTTAGGAGGCATAAATGATAAATGTGATGAAAGTGCTGATCATATGTTCTAACGTAACTTCTTTAATAAGCTATAAAGGTGGTATATGGAAAGGTGTGATTGATTTAAAGAAATTTTCTTTTTCTCTTATTCTTGCATTTATTACTTGGCTTTTGAAAGTTGAATTCACTTTCTAGGAATTACGTCCCCCTATGAAAATGTTGGTCCCCATCTGGAAGGCCTTGTGTGCTGCCACTGGTATTAAAGGAAGCTCAAACACATCCATGGAAGATGGTTGATGGAAATGTTAATTATGATTTAGAAGCTCCATTTGCTGCTCAAGCAACATAGAATAATTTGCAGAGCAAATGCATCCTCTTCAAGATCGCATAGTTGTTTAGTATTCCAATTGATACGGCTTCTATTGCAAAAGGGGCGAGGAGGAGGATGAAAGTAGAAAGTTTTGATGTGTACAAGATTAAACGCGATTCTTATTTTGATCAGTTACACAAATCACACTGTACAATTTGCTCATTTTATTGTAGCCAAAATCAATGTAAATTCAAATTTTGTTCTCATCTTTGTTTGTCTTTAACGTTGATTTGGAAAGGTAACATTTTGACATAGCAATCAAATTAGTGGTCGAGTTAATCTCATTTGTGTACTGATAGCTCTTTCCACGCCTCTCATCCTCTCTTTCTTCCCTTCACTCTTGTTATAATTGGAGACGGATGGTACTGCATTAATGCATGATACAGTTGTTTTAGATACTAGAATTGGGCTCTCTTATAAAATTTTAAAAAACTATAATTGGGTTAATCGTGAGTCTTTTTTCCTCAATAATTTAGGATATTAGGTAGCTCCAATGGTAGGTTGACATAACTTGAAATGGAAAATCTCAACCCTACAATGAAAAGAGAAGCTAAAGTCAATCTATATTGATTAGCAAGGACCCCTTTTTAACATTGCACCTGTTTCAGCTGTCATTGGTAAAATCGCAAATGCCTGATTGTTTACTTTCTGAACATGAGATAATAACATTATGTTATGCATCTTCACCCTTAATTTCACAATTGGTAGAAAACATTTAAATTTCTACAAGACAAATGATTGAAAACCATGGTTTACCAAATTCCTGTCTTGACACCAAAGATTAAAAAAATAATAATAAAATGACCATCTGTTATACCATCACTATAGTACCCAGATATTGCTTAAAAGAAAGTTAAATAAAAATGGATTTTTGATAATCTTTTTGTGAAAAAGGAAGTTGCATGATCAATCAATCAATCAAGTACTGACACACAATTCATCATTCTTCTAATGAAAATGCTCGTTCTAAAAAAAAGGGGGGGATGGCATATTTATTTGATCAGTACGAAGAATGTTATACACTAGGTACAAAGAATGAGAATGAATGTAAAGCTTAGCTTTTACTCAAGCTTAAACGTTTTTCAGCACGTTCGAGACTAAGTTCATGTCGACGTAACCCATGCCACAACTGATATTCACCATCACTCAATGATGCCATTTTAGCTATGTGCTTATGCAATGCCTCCAAGTTGACAAGCGGGGCAGTTGTTGGTCGACCATGAGCACACTGCAAAACAAATGTTTCATAGTTATTCGATGAGCCATCATACCCCTCCCACACACCAGCAATCCACATTCACATCCATGCGATGTATTCTTAGCCTCTAATGATCACTTACTTGGAAACATAGAGAAGTCTGCTTTAGTTCTTCAACGATGAGGGAACACTCTGAATGTAGCAAGGAATCCCCAAACATAATTGCACCTAACAAAAAAAGTATGGAAAATTATTGAATAAAAGAAATCATCTAAATGTAAGTAATAAATTCATATGCAAGCAAAACTTGTCTGGCAATTTTATATCAGGCAGAAACTGCATAAATGAGGCAAAATAGTTGAAGGTTGTTTTGTCAATCATATTAACACCAACTCAAAGTTGACTTTATCTACGATACAAACATTTACACCCAAGGGAAAGGCCTTAATGGCGCCTTGTTTAAACAAGACTTGCTTGCCTCTAGTGAGAGTGTGGAGGTTCAGCATTTACCTCTGCATGCTTTAGAATTAAGGATTCGAAGAACAGATGGTGGCATTGTTGATGATCCATCTGTATCAGCAAGCTGAAGATTGAACAGTAAGATGTGTCAAACATTGGTGTTAACCAAAGTTGGGGATGATGAAAGACATCAACACAAAAAGAGGGGAAAGACATCCTAGAAATAGAGGCAAGCTTTACATTACCTGCTGAAGAAACTCCATAAGATCTGAGTCAGATAAATTGACACCTAAGATGCAGGGTACCTGCATGCCATTTATAGGAAAAATTCATATCAGTAACGCGATTTAAAAAGTGACTGAATTTGCAATGGGTTTCAATTCATTACTTTGAATTAAACAAATGACAGAGAAAGGTAAAAGATTTTAATTCAAAATGTTTTGAGCTCATAGAAGAGGGTGAATGGAAGGATTGAAAATGAGAAGTGATGGTGCTTCACCGCAATTAGCGTGAAGGCTGTTGGCTGCCTGTGCAGGAGATTCAAATTCCTGCGAAACAGTTAAATCCCAAGAAAATCAGGCTAAAAGAACAATATTGTTTCTCTCAGAAAATAACAGATGTTTCTAGGAGTCTTCCAATTATTAATGAGTATTCTAGGGTTCTTAAGAGTCTTTTGCTATTTCTACAAGTTATGAAGTGTTCCATTTGAAGGCTATAAATAAGGCTATCTGCTGTAAACAAAATCAGTTTTGAATTGAATGAAAATTTGAGTGATTGCTTAAGATTTTGTGCCTTGTTATCTCTTCTGCCTTCTGTCTTTTGTGTCTAATTTCTTTCCCATCTCTCCGTCTTCTCTACAATGTCAACCCTAAACCTTCTTTGTTCTCTAAAATTTCTATCATCCTAAGCTCACCATAACTATACCCAAACACCCAGCCCATGCTGTCCTGCATCAAAATTATTTGCTATGTTCATAATGCTGAACACTGACACCAGTATCATATTCTTTTATAAATCAAATAAATTAATAATCAATGAGAAATATGTTGGGCAAGTCACGTAAAATACCTCTTGAAGGACCCTGAACCTTCAGCTTGTATGTTGCAGAGCCAACCCCACTCTTCCACTGGTTTAGCATAGTTATGAAGTAACTGATAACCAATCTCTGGCAGCACCTGAATTATAAATATAAAAATCAAATAGTGAAGGAATCCAACCATAAAAACTTAGTTTAGCATCAGATACGCTACATACCAACTCTTGCTCAACATCCAGAAAAGTAATCGTCTTTGCTTCTCCAGATAACACCTAGGTATTCAACTGGTCACATAAGCCATGATAGAAATCATTTCCAACATTTAAACAGGAAATATATTAATACCTTCTGACGCAGCTCCTCCAACCGAATCCTTTCATCTGCAGCATGCTGTAGAAAAGAATTGCTGTCAAAGTCAGAACACCAGCTGAACTCGTGTGCATGTGAGATTTAGTGTAAATGTATGTGTTTATATGAACGCAAGTGTTTTTCAAATTTATGTTGTAAGAACAGCTGCACGTACTGTATATTTACATGTATGCATCTACTTTGAAGATGTACAATTATATCTTATTCTGATAAAGTTTTCGAGTGAGCAAGATTTTCTCAGATAATCCTTAGTTTCTTTCCTCCTCTCTGAAGGCCACTTTTGGGTAAGTGCAAGAACACGTTTGGATGCATCCAAACTTTTGTTGTAATCTATAAGTGAACTGCAGGTGCCCCTCATGTACCAAGAAACATATTTTGGAGTTATAGAAAAGCAGAAATCCCAAGCCAAAACTTAAAACAAATGTCCTGAAAAAATATACAATAAACGGACCTGGTCAATAATAGCAAGTGTTCTGCCAGCCATAAGTGCAATATATTTCTTATCCACCTGCTGAAGAACTCTGCAATCACTCAGGCAGTTCTTGGTGATGGATTCAGAGACTAATGAGTCAGCAGCGAGATGCAAGAACCCAGATGATATATCAAGTATGCTATATTGATCATGAAGACCTTGCATTTTACTTGCATTCTGCAGTATTAAAAAAAAACATTCACAGTAATAAGTTAATCAAATGGATGTAAACTGTTGTGGCAAACGAGTATAGCAATGAACTCATCTTGAGCTTCAACCATCCACATATGTATTACACATATTTAATCACTCACCATGATCTGGGGACAGCAATTCCGCCATTTGGTTCCACAATTGAGGGAATCTTGATCCGTGGAGATAAATTCTGAAACATGGCAAGGAACGATGAGAACCAACCTTTTATAATAAGCAAAAGCTAATTCAAGTATTGAGTACACTTTTCGAATAATAAAAGAATGAGATACCTTTAATTGGAGCAGTGGCTTGAATCCCTGAACATTTAGACTGTTCAAACATTTCAACTTCGTGTTTGTTTACACCAGCCTTAAAATCTTGAGATTCTTGATATCTGCTCCAAAAGTAAATTTTGGTGACTGAGAGGATAAAATCTGCAACTTATGGTGTAACGAGAAAATAATTAGAGTTCAAGTACCTGTCATCTGCCGATATATCCTCGACAGCACTCAGCTTCAAATTTAGATGGCAACCATCAGGAGGTTGATGGAGATCCTTCATCTTGCTAGCTTCTGCACAAAAGATGTTTTAGCTAGTCATGAATCTGCATCAATTTCCAAGTCTTAAATGGAAAATCACATAATAGTACCTGGATAAGTAGCTGCATTATGGAAGTTTTGTACATCAAGTTTTCCTGCTGTTGTTGTCAAAGGGTGACTTAAAGTAAAGTACCTCCTCTTGCATCTATAAAATGGTGGAGCTGAATGGCTTCTTTTTGATCTTCCTATTGAAACATGATTCTTTAAACAATCTTGATCTTCAAACTGATCTTTTTGTCTTTTATACATGTCAATACCCATGTTATCGTTGCAGTGCGAATACTGACGTGACCAATCTGTCTCATCAGCTAATATATCTGGGCATTCAGGAGAAAACTCACCATCTAAATTGTGTGGTTGAAAGAATTTTCGCGAACCAGCATAATCATTAAACTCTAGCTCACGGTCCATATGTGTAGTGCAGTGTTCTCGACTGGAGCTCTTTGATATTATATCATAACTAAATGTGCAGTCCTTTTCTTCACCGTCCACAAAATATTTATTAGTATCCCTTTTAACAGATCTATAATGCCCTTCAACTGCATTTATATTAGAGAAAGGTTCAAAATCCAAATAAGTGCTTTGGGATAAGGAATTGG